GAGCACTTTTGCTCTGCAGTCTAGCCACAACCGTAGCGGGGGGCAGGAGTACACATGATCAACGAAATAGCACCGTTCCCACGCGGAACGGACAAAGCACAAGCACCGAGATGTTTGCGGCGAAGTTTACACCTCAGCAACTGGAAGATTGCTTTGTCAACAGCAACTGGTCAGCTATGTTTCCAGTATGAATATTGAGGGGAAAGGCTATTTATTGCTGCAGCTCAAGCCCAAAGATGAAATGCAAAAGTGAATTAAAATTTCTGTGGTAACTGCTTAATGAGCGAGGCTGATAATCAAAGGTTGGGGTGTAGCATTTCTGTTGCATTTAAACAGCACAGAAGTCATCTGCAATCCGCCAGTACAAATGCAAACAACAACTTCAAAGAGCAGTGGCATCTTTTTTTTTTTTCTTCTCCCTGGCTAGAATCTCTATACGCCTGTGTATGCTTTGTAGTATTTTTTCTATCATGACAATTTAATTTTTTGTTTGCTTTTCTAAGGGAGGAAAAAAACCCTTTTGCTTTAATGATATTCACCATGGCGAACTTAAAAGTGGCTTACAGAAGCAGAGTCTGGCATTTTCTGTTTGCACCAGTCAGTCGCTAGTGATTGATCTCAGAAGCCAGACTTCATTTTCTAAGCAAAATAAGCTGCAGTTGGCAAAACCTGATTAAAGCGAGTGGAGTTTTATCTGATGTGGCTGTTGCCACTCATTTCAGTGTAATGTGTCTCTTTTCAACTATAGAGGACCTGCAGAACACAGAACAAAAAGTACACATCAGTTTATAATGCACTCCTCTAAAAGTTTAAGTATTCCTAATAGGCCATCAACTGCTAAGAAACCAGCATGCGAGGGGTAAATTGGCATGTAGAATACACTCCTAGTATAGCTGTTGTAGAGTTTGTGCCGTCATCCTTACATAGAGGCCTACCACAAGAGGAGCCGCTAGCTGGACTGACGCCACCATTAAATCTACCACGCAAAAATTCCTGCCAGTGATCATGAACTAAATATAAAAAAAATTGAGGGGTCTTGACTTTGCTTCCTGATTTTTGAGCCTTTCAGGCATAGTGGATCTATTGTGGCTTCTCCTTCTGAGAGTATGAAGCCCAAAAACATCTGAGATCCTGACACAAACAAGCCATGCCAGTGTTCCTCATTCTGCTCACTCGGAAGGGCTGGCATCACTCTGTGTTACTTCCCAACAGACAGAAGAGTTCCTTTTCCTCTCATTTCTGAGGAAGGGGAGACGGTGAGAGAAGGAAGAGTAGGCGAAATTACATTTGAAGAGGTGCAAATATAAAACTGACAGGGTTGGAGACAACACGTTTCATTCGAATGGCTATTTGCAGAGCAGCTCCGCTGCGAGATAACTAATGGCATGTGAAAAGGTCCTACGCACAGAAAACAGTCTGTCATGTTAAAATAAAGAGCTCTGAAGCTGTGAAGTCTGGCATAGCTGTAAAAATAACTTTCGCTTGGGAGGGGAGGCTGGGAACCCCGCCGCTCCCGATTCTTTTCAAAGACAATGCCCGGTGCCGCAGCAAGGAACACGGAGGCTACAGTGTCTCCTACAAATCTCCACCAAAACCTTAATTTAAATTACTATCGAAGATTAAAGGCTAGCGTAAGCCTACACTTCCTTGCAACCGCATTAATTATTGAGGCAACACGCAGAGCTCTGTAATTGGCTCCTGTCTGTTAGCCCAGCGCTGAGTTGATAGGTTAGGGTGGTGGCAGAAGGATGGAGATGATGATGATTACATACGATTTCTGGGTTTGCTGGTTTGGGGGAGAGGTGTCTTCTAAAATTGGAAGCGATGTTAGGAAAAATCAGGATGCCCTTCCCGTAGCAAAGGCCAGGAGGGAGGAGGGGGCGGCCTAGCTGCAGGGGAGGCAAGGACGTGGTGCTGAGTTCCCCCTGCTAACTGCAGCCCGAAATTAAATGGCGACGCTGCCAGGAAGTGAAGACAAGGCAACCCGCCCCCAACCAAACAAAAAATACCCTTTCCTCCTACCTCTGGCAAAAAAAAATCCAACCCTGCTTCTGCTCTGCATAAGCGTTAGCTACTGTGGTATTTTATGCAGCTGTAATGGTGTCTTGCTTTCATTTGGTTCATTTTACTGGGAAGTTCTGTCCCTTCCACTGACCAGAAACCAGACAACTCCTGGGAAGGACCTATCTCTCATTCTTTAATTACTAGACTCACACAGTGCATTATAAACAACTTAATAAAATGGGCCCACCAAACATTTGAAGGGCACCTGAAAGCATGGGTCTGAAACCCAAGCCCATGGGTCTGCCGGCAGACCTGCTGCAGGCAACCTGCAGCGTGCCCTCGGTCTGCAGCAAGTCTCTTTCCAGTGACCCGCCATAAGCAAAGACCGCGCTGCCTGCAACGTGCACGGAGGATGTAAGGAGCACGCGCAGCCAGCCTGGCTGACGTACGGCAACCAGTTACCCCGTGGTAACCTTTTCTCCATCTCGGAACGCTAGGCTTGCTCCCGAGCTGACTCAATTCATCTCGATTTGGGCCAAGCCCACTGCAGTGTTTAAATCCTCGTGAAAACTTTAAAAATGCAACCCACGAGAGATGCAGGAGGAAAAGGGAGAGACCTGAGGTACCGCCAACATCTCTGCGTACAGGTGCGGGCAAGAGTGGGACGGGAAATTATTCCAAGAGGTGGGAAGCCAAGAAAGGGAGTGGACAAGATGGCCTCAAGGAAGAGGCCATCTTCCTGGAAGAAGGAAAGCAGAAAGTATTGTCGTCATTCTGGCATTGTTTAAATCCGAAAATTGAAGAGGGCGGTGGAGAAATCGGCACCAGTCACCTCCACGCCTCAGCCAGAGTCTGGCCTGGGAAGGGGCCCTGGGCAGGCCGCGCTGCCTCCCCTCAGCAGCGGATATCACAACGACGACAACGCCATTAAATTGTCAATCAAGTTTAATGCATCATAAAGAAGTAAAACTACATTGGCATATTTAAGACAAACACTTTTTTTTTCTATGCACACTATCCACTGGACAGTCCCCTTTTCAAAATAACTACTTTTAACAGTCCAAGACACTTCTTCAGAAATTCTTCACATATTCAACCTTCCACGCTTTTCCTTTTTTTTATTTGTCTGAGAAGGAAAAAAAATCATTAAACCTGAAAACATTTACATTGCAAGCCACGTTAGAATGCATAATTGGCATACAATAACCAATGTATAACAATTGTGTTTTACTTAGTTCACTTTGTTCATCAATAAAAGAATATAAAAATCTTGTTCAACCGAGTGTTGTGTATTAAAATAGATTTGTATAGTACTGCACAGTTTCTCCCGGAGTTGTGAAAATGGTTGAAGGGACCATGTGCTGCCTAGTGATGGGCGACGGTAAAAGCCAGTCCCTCGTGGGTTTTTTTGTTTAAAAAAAAAGGTGTTCGGCACCGTGTGATATGCTGATGTGAGAGACTAGCCTTGTGTCGTGCTCTGGTGGCTTCTTGCTTTCCTTAAGTACCTGTTGTGCTAATCGACGGAGAACTCATAAACGACAGAGACGATGGCATCTGGTGTGTGTGAGACGTTGAGAAAAACCGGGGTGCCCATCACTACCTTCCCGGGCAGGCCGCAGGGTGACGGGGGGCCTTAAGGCCTAACGGGGGGCCAGGCGGACCCTTGCAGTATCAGGAAGACTAGCTAGTGAAACAAGCAGGCGCACTGGGATTTTCTCTGGCTAATGCTAAACACCACTTCCCAAACGTGCTAAAATGCAACAAAATCTTAAGAAGGAACCAAGTTTCCAAAAAAAAACCCCAACAAACCCTTAAAAGTTTCCATGGCCTGTCCCTCCCCCAGAACTCTTGATATTAGCCAGTATGAGAAACAACCCCTTGAGGCAGTTGTTTTTTCTCCTGTACCATTTCAGCAGATATTTCTGCAAGCAAAAAAGAAAAAAAAAACAAAAAAAACCCCCAAAAAAACCATGTTACATATTTTTAATAATAAAAATGCAGTACAAAAATGTAAAGTTATCTTTTTGGCATATTATCTGTACTGGCAAGAAACAAAAAACAGAATATTTATTTGCTTTTTTTCTTTAAAAAAAATTCCAAAATTAACAAAATGAAACCCCCCAAAATAATCTCTTTAAAAAAAGAAACCCAACCTGCCAAAGATATCCACTATTATGGTTTATGCTAAATCTTGCACAAAAACTCCATGAGAAAAATACACCGATAGCAAAATAAGTAAAAAGGACCTGCAAAAAAGTAAGGAGTTTTACAGTCATACTTTTTTAAATACTTCGGAACGCATATACAGAAGCATCAGCATGAAAATACTTCAATATTTTACTAGAAACGCTAACTTCATACAGTTTCTTTATTTAAATATCTGCAATTCTTAACTCTAATAATACTGCAAAAACCCGATCTTTTGTTTCGAAGGCTCTGTGAGTGTCCGTGACGCCGTTCTGGTCAAAACAGCCCCATCTCCAGGTCACCTGAATCAACGGGGCCAACTTTGTTCCTCTGATAAGAATCCATGTCGAGTCCTAAGTAGTTCAGTTTCTGGTTATCGCACCGATTTCCCTCCCACAAATAGCTTTCAGCCCAACTACTTCTCTACTAGCTCACTAACTCTTTGCATTGAAAATTTTCCCCTTAAAGCAGAACTGGAAACCTGTCTGCCCCCCACAAAAGGATATCCCGCTTCCTATCGGCCATACTTTTCCTCTTCATCCTTAGTCATAAATACATTAAGGCCAACATAACAAAAAAAATCTCATAAGCACTGAAGGTCTCGGCAAATACAAAACCGCAGCACAACCCGCTCCGTGGGAACCTGCTGCCACAGTGACCTACAAACTGGACTGATTGGTTTGCAAGTTTCTACGCGTATCAAAACTGAGATTGTTCCTTCTCTCCTTTGTTTCAGTTTAATCTCTCCTCTGCGCATGTGTATAAAGTTTTTTTCCCCCCCTTCCTTCGGTCTCTCGCAGCCGGCTCTGTCAGTTGTTACCCTGTGATTGCTGCAAGGCTTTGTGCATGGCAGCAGAGGCAGAGGAGGGTTTGATCCAGGGGACGGTTAGCAGGGAGGAGGTGGTGGTGGTCGTCATGGTAACCTGAATCATCTGCTCGTTTTGTATCAGTCTAATGAGGGTTTTGAGACGTTCCAGTGAAGACTGAGTTCCTTTCTGCTGGGCCAACAGGCTGGTTTTTAGCTCTAAGCATTTCTGTCAAATGAAGAGAAGGGGAGAGAGAAGGAAAGACTGAGAATACATTCAAATTGCTGTCAAACATCTCTCCAAACATCCTTTTGTGTCTTGAGCGCACGTCCTGCTCAAATGAAGTATATTCTCCTTTGGGGATAGCAAAACCACAGGTTAACAAATGGAGTAATCACCAGAGCTGCATACACTGCAGCAGCTGTCTACGGTAACGGTATTCGTCCCAGTCCAAATGCATTCAGAGGACGTTTCTGACCTCATCCTGCAGACAGCCTGGCAGAAGTGCCTTCTGCACTCCAAAGAAATTACTGGCACAGGATTGTAATAGCTGTATTAATGGAAAGTACCGAAGCCACCAGTGAGGTCTCTAAACCTTACCAAACGGCATTGATAAACGCTTGAGGGATAAACCTCACCATGATGCATTTTTACGTGCCACAAATTTCAGGGAGTCACTACTATGAAGATAAGTTGATCTCTCTAAACATGATGACAATACCTTTCTGGCAGAAAACTTGATCTAAGGCACTCCTGTTATACCACAGCAGTCACAAGAAAGTCTTTTTCCTATGGGGTGGCCACACCGCACCCCACAATCACTTAGAATAGAATCACTAAGGTTGGAAGAGACCTCTAAGATCATCCAGTCCGATCATCAACCCAACACCACCATGTCCCTAAGCGCCTCATCTACGCATCTTTTAAATACTTCCAGGGATGGTGACTCCACCACTTCCCTGGGCAGCCTGTTCCAAGGCC